GGGGGGGGGGGGGGGGGGGAGAAGCTAGAGTGGAGATGGAGGGATGGCAATGCGGCTGATGGTCATGGAGGTTTAAAGAAGCGAAGCAAGTGGCATGGGAGGTGTGGGCAGGGAGTCGTGAATGCTGGGCTTGGTTGCGCAAAAGGCAAGGCAGGTGGCACCGATAAGCCGAGGAGGTGCGTGCGACTGCTCCTTCCAAGCTCGATCACAGCAGCAGCAGCAGCAGAGCAGCGCAAGGCAAGGCAGTCCGCGACGGACAGCATAGTAGCGGCATACAATCACAATAAGGATCACATCACAGATCAAATGGTGATATTGATGTCGTACGCAGCAAGCGAAAGCGAAGCAGCAGCCATTCACCATTGCCAACCTCTTTCTTTACCCTTGACTTGCATAACCAGAAGGTACTCGCACGCCATCCATCACGCCGACACATCATTCGGCATATCATGCACACCGCACCCAACCGCACCACACGCATGCGCGCGGCGAGCAGCATGGGTTGCCATGTTGATGGTTATATCGGCCGGCATGCCCAACTGATCACGTGAGCTGTACTTGCACTCTGACTGGGGTCCTTCCATCGGGCGCGCTGCAGCTCTCTTCACCGTCTGTCGAAGCGAGAGCGAGACAGACAGCCGTTCGTTCGTCACCGACTTGGACAGAGCAGTCAAGTCGCTGCATAACCCCGATCATTCATGATTCGGATGCGCGGGTAGGCAAGGCGTTGGCACCCGTCTTTGTAGACGAGTGATTGAGCGACGGTCCTCTGTGCAGCTCGGACCTTACATTGAATGTCCATGGAGCGTGATCCATCAATCCCTCTTGCCGTCATCTGCTGGCACTTGGGCGCGCTAGCGATGGATGAAAGGGAGACGACGACGACGACGACGACGCTAACGTTGTTACCAAGTACGATCGCCAATAAGACACGGCCAGCCAGGAGGGGGGCAGGTGGATGGGCAAGCATAATCTTGCGTGCAGTCTCGAGTGTGAGTACGCACCGGCGTGATGCTCTCTGCTGACTGTCACGGACCGACCCGCCTGAGCGACAATCTCGGTATCGCATGCGAGAACGCTTAAAGATGATCAAAAAAAAAAAAAAACTCCGAAAAAGGTCAAGATTGTAGTCACTCAACTCAGTCTTCGAGTGGCGATTTCCGCGCTTGTGATCCGACAGTCTGAGTCGCAAGCGTTGGGTGGCTAGCGATATGATTCGAATAGCACGCACGGGGCGATCGACGAATCGGAGGGGCGGCACGGCACGGTCATCTGCTTGCTGAACGCGCTGCGTGATTCTTGATTCGCATTCAGATTGTGATTCGTGATTGCCGCATGGATCGAAGAAGATGCTCGATCGCTGCTGAGCAGAACGCGGTGCGGCGGGCGACACCACAGCACGCGCCCGACATGGCAGCGCAGCTAGGCTGCAACAGAGGAGAGACCACGTCAACAGGTACGCACCGGCCGACATTTTGACTTTTGATTTTCGATGCGCACCGATTGTCAAGGCGAAATGACATGGAGTTACGAGTGGTGAGTGCTGGGCACATCATGCATCAGCAACGCCAGCAACGACACAGACACTTTGACCGACTCGCTCTGCAACTGCTCGATCGCTCGAATCGAAATGTCAGCACCGATGCGCGTGGAGTAGGCGAATCGACGCGAGGCGCAGGACCCTGCATGCCACGCATGCCATGCATGCAGCAGCTGCATGGGGGCCTGCTGTCACAGCGCGTTGCATGGCTTCTCAAGTGCCTGCCTGCCTGCCTGCCTGCCTGCCTGCCCTGCTGCAATCACCATTCACCGCGCACCGCGCACCCCGTACACTCTTCTGACTCGATCGCGTCTCTGCGGGCAGGGCAGGGCAGCGCATGCAGCTCATAGCTGACCCAATCGTGAATCACGAATGTGAATGATTATCTCGAGACTGGAGAAGAGCGCAAAGCTGTGCGCAGCGAGGCACCAGTCGGAGCTTTTGCAAGCAAGCAAGCAAGCAAGCAAGCAAGCAAGCAAGCAAGCAAGGGTCCTGCGCGCGCGAGTCCGACTGTGACTGTGTGACTCTTGACGCGCTTTCTGTGCGTAGAAGCCAAGCCAAGCCAAGCCCAAAAAATCCACTCTTCTGTGACTCCAAACTCAGCCCCAAGCAGTGCCGCACATGTGCCGTCCCGTCCGTGCAAAGATCCGCCAGATTGGCATCCAAAAGCTTCAAGTCAAGTCCGGCAGTCATGAGTCAAGCAGAGTGGCGACAGTCGTGAGTCAAGAGTGACTTGTGTCCACACTTGGCTCTCACCCTTCATCGAACCTTCCTTCCCACTCACGACTTGCTCCATCCCGGCTCCACATTCACGTCACGAGTGCGCGCAGCGCATCAACAGGTCAGCCCCCTGCTGCTCTGAATACCCCGCGTCGCGCCAACATCTTGCCCCTCCTCGCCAACGGCCCGCTATCAAACACGCCACCTTACCCGGCGTGATCGGTTTCTCCTCCCTACTCGGAGCTCCTCCCGCCGCAGCCGACTACGCTCTGCCATACTCGATCCCGACTCTCGCGCGACAATTCTCGCTTCTGCAATCCGCCGTCATCTTTCCAACAGTCAGTCACGCCGCTCGTCAGAATCGCTCGACATCGTGCACAGATCTCTTTCAAACTTGCTCTCCAATTCAGTGCAGAAGCCGCAAGGCAAGGCAAGTCTCAGCAAGTACGTGCCAGGCCGCCTGTCTCGCACGGACCTCGTCCTTGTGAAAAATCAAAAGTAAAATGGCAACCACGTCCGCCACCGGCGGCGCGCTTGAGCCTGCTGGTGCATCTCCTCGAAGACCGCGCCTGCGTCAGAAGACGGATCTTGTAGGCGCACAACCTCGTGAGCTTCTGAAAGAAAGGTCGCTTGCAGAAGGGGAGCCTGCGTCTGCCACATCACCAACATCTTTGCGCTCATACCAGACATCCGGATTCACAACTCGATTTGGGACTGGATGGATGGCACCCACTGCTTCCAGCTCGCAGTCTGTTGCTAAAGAAGGACACCTTGGCAGAGCAAACGGAGAGCGCGGACAGCGACAGCCTTCGTCCGATGCATTCATCGACATGGTTCGAAGGTCATCCTCTCAGCAAAGCCACGCCAGAACCCCTTCGCGCCCTCTACTCAGGACGCGCAGCCCATCGTCAAACGGCAGCGAAGTATCAGCAGATCAACAGCCATGCTCGCCCATCCGCTCCAAAGCTCCTTCCATCTCGTCCCGTCATTCTCAGAGCCCCAAATCTGAGAGCGTGACGCTGACGATGAGCTCGCCACGCTATACCAGTATGATGACGTCCAGACCGCAGCGTCGCTCCTCCCTGGCACCCTCAGAGGCACCAATGACGCAAGACAATGCAGCTTTGAGCGACATGGCCTACTTTTCCATGCGGGACAAGGCAGAGGAAAAGGCTGCAAAGGCGGGGAGCTCGAGCAGTGTGGACGCAACATCCGCATGTGGCACAAGCAACGTCGGCAACGTCGGCACCGTCTCACCTGGCTCAGAAGTCACGCTTGTCCCAATCTCTGAGGATGGCCGATCCTTTCGATTTGTGGAGCGTAGCAGCAACGACGCTTGCGCATCTTTGGCAAGCACACATGCGCATGTGCGCAGCCGCAGCGATGCGGCTGCCAATAGGTCTTCAATGAAGAAGGCTGCTTCTGTCCAATCATGGCTCAAAAAGACCACGGATGTTGGCGAGGACGACGCGAATGAAGGTGGTCATGCCCGTGACCCATTGAGTGCATTGATTGGAGAACGTCACGCTGCACATGGAAGAGACGGCGATCCAAAAGACCTTGATGAGCGTCGTGCCTCGGATGGAAGTGCAGGGTTGAGCATAGGAAGACGCGGCTACTCGGGTTCCTCGCAAGACAACTCCTCGGCGGATTGGATGTCGACAGACTCGGCCTCTTCCGCTTCCTCTCTTCATCCCGCAGCGCTCTCGCCTGATGGCTTTCGGCAAGATGCTGGCGACGGCTCCTCTTGCCCTGCTCTGTCCTCAAGTCCGGGTCTGACGGACGCGGGAGATGTGAGCACGAGCGATGCGCTCACTGAAGCTTCATCCCTACCCACGCCTAGCTTCTGCGATGGGCTGGAATTGGACAAGGATTCGCTACACACCATCGAGCGTCTGCATCTCGATGATGCGTGCGACAAAGGAGACATGCACAAATCGAGCAGTCGGGCTATGCCTGATTCCATGCTTGCGACTCGTGTTCGCCCTGCTCTCAGCTGAGCGAGCGTGTTTGGCGCTCCTTTGGTCTGCTACTACTGCGCGCCCCTTTCTCCAACGAAACCGGAACGACTTTGCAACGAAAGAGTACGAAGAGAAGACCTTTTGGAATACTATACACGTCACCCATTTATCCTCACTTTCAAGGATGGCACAATTCCTTCGCGCACCATGAATGGGAAAGTGGACTCGATCCGTCTCTTTGACCTACTTTCTTCATTTTGGCAATGCTCTCCTTCGCATGCACGCAAACATATCAGCCAACACTTTGTTTAATACACGCATAACACACTTCGTCATTGGCTTCATTATCTCGCCATCTGCTTTAATCCCGATGCTTCATGAACTGTGTAGGTACAGACAGACGGCAACGCTCTCTCCCATGATGCTCTGCTGTTTGTGTGTGCTTAATTGCTTTCTGGCGAACCTCTACTCGGCCGGTAAAGCGGGGTCGTTCCGCGCTGCAGCCCGCAATTTCCGCAAGTGTGCCGCGTGCGTGCGTGCGTGCTGCAGCTAATAGCAGACCATACTGCGCGCCTGCATGCCTTGCCTGTGCGCGCCCGCCGGGGGGGGGGGTTTCAACACATATTCCGCGCTGATGCCGCTCGCTGCATGCTGCTTTGGTCATTGGTGGACTGGCGCACGAGAGCAGGTAGGGCTGTACCGTACAGTAGCATCAGAGTTGCATCCTCGTACCTGCGCCTACCAACCCACTCACCACTGCTTAGGCTTACGCTTCTGTCCCACTCGCAACTGCCGCCCGCCCGCCCGCCCATGCACAGCCTGCTGGCTGGCTGCACGGTAAGCGTAAGACAGATGCATTCGTGATTCTCTCGACTAGAGATGGAGATGGAGATGCCAGGTGGAGTGTGAAGGGCATGAGGTGGTCAGGTCAGGTCAGGCCCTTTCCAACTTGCCTTGATTGGGAGCGAGTCACGGGCTCATGATCGACTCGATTCACACTTGTCGCGCTCAAGTCAAGTCGCGCATAGCCAAGCGCGCGAGTCTGATATGAAGAGGTTCCGCCAAGTGCGTGAGTCTGATGAGAGAGGTTCCGCCTAGCCTGCGGCAACCGACGTCGGAGTGCAGTGCGGTGCATACATTCGAGTCGGTCGCTTCGTGCGGGGCTCCGCCCTCGGAAAGTTTCTCTTTGTGTCATGCAGCACCCCAGCAAGAGCTTGGACTCGGGCGCCTGGCGCCTTTAAGCTTTCATTCACCTTCGCTCGTGTGTCGTGACGTCCGGTCCGCAATCTCTCAGTGTGAGTGCGGCTCACGACTCGCAGGTCCGCTCACCGAGACACTGTTGCTCGTGATAGGTGGGCATGGGCAACGCGGGGCGCCTGACCCGGTGACATGCAGGCAGGCAGGCAGGCATGTGCAGTACTCGCGCCACTCATGACTGCACCTCTCGCGAACGAAAAAGGGTCCAAGCAGACTCCCACCCTCGCCATTCTTCCGGCCCACCTGTCCCCCCGTGTAGGACTCGATTCGCGCTAAGGGTCCGCCCCCACGCTGGCTATCGACCATGGGCGGGCGGAACTTAAGACCGGTACCTCGGTGGGTCGACAGATGTTGAACAAGGTGCAGGAAGACCAGCCGCTCGTCTCCTCACGACAGCAGTCTCTACAAGCATCGGGCGGAAATTTAGGATCTTCTCTATTCGCGGCCCAAGTCCTGACTGACTTGCACTTGGCTTCTCATGCGGGAGCGGACTTTTTACAGCGCAATGAGCCGTGAGAGCCACGCTTTCTACGTTACTACACTTAGTGCGCAAAAATGGCAAGAAGCAAGCCGAATGAATGCCTTGCCGTGTTCTCGCTTCCCCGGATCGTCATGTGGGTCTTTGCCCTGCAGCCGATGTGCGCCATCCTCTGCTAGTGACGCCGACCTGGCAAATCTAGGCACGATGAAAAGGTTCGCCGTCGGCTACACCTTGACACACTTGTATGATCCTCACACGCTAATGCTGGCCATTTAAATACTGGAGCTTGCGCGGCCACTTGGTCTTCCCCTTTTCCCCATCCTATTCATCTCTCTCCTCTCTCTCCACTGCGATTTGCCCCATTCCCCTCCGCATCTGCTTCGTTCCGTATCCCCCCCTGGATTGCGTCGGCCACCAATTCGCCCTCCCCTCCAGCCCTTCACTCTGCTCGTCCCCTTCATTTCAGCTTGCCTGTCAACCCCTTGGACACCCGACCATCTTCCCGCTTGCCTCTTTCTGCAGCTTTCGTTTCTGCCACCATGAAATTTTCAACGTGCGGCCTGGCACTTGTCGCCATCCTCACCGCTGCAGCTTTCGTCGATGCGGTGTCCATCGAACCGCGCTTGCTCGGACGTCTGAAATACCCGCAGCCGTCCGTCGACCCCTTCTACAAGGTTCCTGATAATATCGGCACCTACGCGAACGGAGCGATCATCAGGGAGCGCGATATCACCAGTGATCTGGCCTTGGGCGTGGATTCGCAGCTCTTTTCAAAAGTCTACCAGCTGCTTTATCGTTCGCAAACCGGATCGAACCAGCCCGACGCAACGGTCACCACGGTCTTCAAGCCAAAGAACCCAAAGAAGGGAGTCCCTCAGATCGTTGCTTACGCCGCCTTTGCTGATTCGGCGGCAAAAGACTGCGCTAGCTCCTACGCACTCATCAGAGATTCCGGCAGTCAGCAGGGCGCCGTGCTTGTTTCTCAAGCGCCGTACATCAATGCTCTACTTCAAAAAGGCTATTACGTAAGTCTATGCGCTTCGTCGATTGCGCTTTTGGCACAAGCTGACAAGTCCGACGTTCGTGAACCCCGTGCGCGCCCCAAAGGTAAGCGTTCCAGACTATCAAGGGTCCCAAGCCGCCTTCATCGTCGGCCCTCAAGAGGGACGAGCACATCTGGATGGACTTAGAGCGTTGCTGAACCACAAGCCGACCCTTTCAGACTCCACCGGATACCAAGCCGTCATTGCCGGATACAGCGGAGGCGGCCATGCGGCCGCTTGGGCGATGCAGTACCGCAAAGAGTACGCCTCTGAGCTCAACATCATCGGTGGATCGTACGGCGGAGTTCCCGTCAATCTCACCGCCACGCTCGAGATCTTGAACAAGGGACTTTTCGCTGGATTTGGACCCGCCGGCCTGGCAGGTGCGGCAAACGCCTACCCTGAAGTTGAAAATTACCTCCTTCAACAGCTCAAGCCCAACGGAACCGAAGCTTTCAAATTTCTTCGTTCGGACCAAGGATGCATCGCTGGCGAGTTGGGCTACTTTGCGTTCAAGGACTACTACTCGTACGTCAAAAGTGGAGCCGCGGCGCTTCAAGACGCCATCCCTGTCAAGTATTTTGAGATCAACAGGCTCGGATCTCGAGGAGCGCAGGATCTGTTGGGGCCCGAAATTCCAGTCTACATCTACCACGCTCGCAACGACGAAGTCATCCCTCGTCCGCCCGTCGACGACTATGTCAAGTGGCAATGTGCAAACGGAGCGCGCATCGAGTACTCGCTCTCCGACTTGTCCGAACATGCGACGGAAACGCTGATCGGTGTGCCTGGAGCTGTGGACTGGATCAACAAGGTGTTCGAGGGACGATTGAAGCAGCCCAAATGCGTTCAGAGCCAACACTCCCTCTTGAGTCTGACCAGTTACGGTGCTGAACCCATCCTGGGTACCAAGGCCGCCAACCAGCTGCGCGCCTTGCTCCCGACTTTTACTCTGAGAAAGCTAGCGGGCCTCAAGTGATCGATCCGCTTGCCGCTTGCCGCTCTCCCTCACCGCCTACCTTTCTTTGCCGCCCTTTTTCCCTTCACCTCACCCTCATTGCGCTCTAGCCGGCACGCCACCTTTCCACACTCTCTGATCTTGCACTTGCTCTTGCTCGTCTTCGTCGCACCATCCTTCCCGTTGCGACGGTCCTTGTTCGCACCTCCTCGTCTGCTGTGGAAGTGCAAATTAGCAACGTAAATAAATCCCTGATCCGACTTGCCGCCTCGCTGTTCGGCGCAGTGTGTGTTGCAAAGGTTGCTTGTTGGTAGACTACCGAATGGGTGCAAGTCAGGAATTGCGATTCTTGGAATCGCTCGCTATATTGACATCCAAATCAAAAATCTCTGACCGACGATTTCCTTGAGCACCGCACGTGCCGTGCCACCAGCGCTGGATGTGCAACGGTGCGGATGCATGGGTTGCTGATGTGCCATCCTTTGGCTTGTGGTGAAGGAGCTGCCGTGGCTGCATGGGGCCAGCTGAGCCAGCAGCGTGCGTGGCAGGGTGAAGCGCTCGCTGCTTACGAAGTGAAGCTTCGCGGCGGTGGGGCACCCTTGCCATGCGCGCGGCTTCGCGCGTACAGCGCAGCTATAGTATACGCGGTTGCGCTATGCGTGCGTGCTTGTTACACCGCCGCCGCGAACTCAAATGGCGCGCGCGCCCCCTCACGCGCACGCCTTGCTTTGATCACATCCACCCACTTTTGCCTGCTGTGCGCACGCACGCAATCATCAAGATCAATGTTGCTGTTCCGCCCTTGCCAAGCACGATCGACCGGTGACTTTGACAAGGAATCATAGAAAAGGAACTCTTGTCACATTGTGCTTGCTCAACGTCGCGCATATCACGTGGGATGGGGGGACAGGATTATGAGAAGAAACGGACGGCCCCTCTCATTTCTCCAAGTTTCTGGTAACGCGAATTGGGCTGCGCCGCCTCCGCCGCCGCCGCCGCTGCGCAAAGCTCATCTCAAAACGTTGGTTGCATGGAAGTGCAAGGCGGGGCGCCGACTGAGCCAGGAGCGGAGCGGACCGCGTTGATGATCAAGCATTAGGGAAAAGTCACGAGTCACGAGTCACGAGTCACGAGTGGAGCGGGTCGGGTCTACTCCTGGCTGAAGATGCGCGCGGCCTCGCAGTCGCTGCCGCAGGAATCAGGAATGTATGCGACGTGGACTACGCGACGATGAAGCGCAACGCACCGCACCGATACTCCATCTCGATCGATGCCAGAGATGAGGAATGCGCGAGTCGCGAGTGCGAGTGGTTGAAGGGGATGAATAAGCTGAATAAGCCTGTGCCGTCAATCAACAATCACGTGAATCGTGCATTCAGAGGGCTGCCTGCATTCACCATTCACCATTGGCTGCGCTGATGCTCATCCTGCACGTCGCGCACCGCGTATCCCGAGCGCGTGTCGCGTGTACATCAATCACATCGCTCGATCGAGATACGTGACTCACGACTGCAGCACAGCTCACAGCTCAAAACGCAGCTGGGGCTCACCCTGACCGCTATAGCTCCCGCGTTCAGACATGCTACATCGTATGTGGTATGTACACCCAGCAGCATTCAATTCAATTCACCCATGTCATTTATTGCTCACGTCCGCGCCTTCACTCATGAACGCATCCCATGCACACGCAGATAGGAGAGGCAGCAGCAGCAGCTATATGTGGCATGCCTACCCGCTCGCCCGCCAGCCCGCCCGCCGAAGCTCATCCATCGTGAATCATACCTCACCCCCATTTGGCGTCCCGCGCATTTGCATGCCTGGCACGGCGGCGGCGGCCCATCATGGATGCGGGAGCGGGAGCGGGAGCGGGAGCGGGTGCGGGTGCGTCTGTGTCCGCGTCTGCGTGTGCGGGTATGCGATGCCGGGTGCAACGGAGATGAGGACAGCCATGA